AGCTATCGGATGGAGTTTGTCATCTGTTCCCATTTGTGATAAAACTGCACCCAAGGCAAAATCCGATGCATCTGTTTCCATAAAAAATGCCTTGGAAAAGTCAACACGATATAAGACTGGTGCAGAGACAAACGATGTCTTCAAGGCTTCAAATGCTGCTTCCGCTTCTTGATTCCATTGAAATTTATCTTTACTACTCAAGCGTGTAAGTGGAGCTGCAACTCGTGAGAAATCTTTGATGAAGATCCGATAGTAATTGGCAAATCCCAAGAAACATTGAACATCTCTTACTGTCCTTGGAATCTTCCAATCCACGATTGTTTGGACTTTCTTAGAATCCATCATGAGACCATCATTTGAAATGATGTATCCTAAAAAGTCAACTTGAGTAGTGTGAAATACACACTTTTCCATCTTGGCGTACAATCCTGCATCTCTAAGTTTTTGTAATACTTGACGAACATGTATTTCATGTTCTTCGACGTTCTTGGAATAGATCAGGATATCGTCTAGATAGCAGACGACAAAATTGTCTAAGAATTCACGAAATACATCATTCATGAGATGTTGAAAAGCAGCTGGTGCATTCGTGAGTCCAAAGGGCATGACATTATATTCGAAATGTCCATACCTGGTTCGAAACGCAGTCTTCCATTCATCTCCTTCTTTGATCCGTACTAGATTATATGCTCCTCTTAGATCTATTTTTGTATAGATCTTAGCTTGATTCAACTGGTCAAGGAGTCCTGATATCAAAGGTAATGGATACCTGTTCTTGATTGTGATCTTGTTGAGTCCTCGATAATCAACACACATTCGTAAAGATCCATCTTTTTTCTTTACGAATAGAATTGGAGCTCCTGCTGGAGATTTTGAATGGCGTATGAAATTCTTTGCTAAATTCTCGTCAATATATGTCTTGAGTTCAGCCATCTCATCTTGCGATAAACTGTAAATTGGTCCAAATGGTGGCTGAGTTCCTTCCTTGAGGTCGATTGAACAATCATATGGACGATGCTCAGGAAGAATATCTGCATTCTTTTTCTCAAAAACGTCTTGATACTCCTGATATTGACTTGGAATGCTACTTGAAGTCTTTACGTTTTCAGAAATAGGTGCAGCATAAATAGCAAAAGTTGATCCTTCTTTTGCTGCGTGTATAAATGCTTTTGCACCTATCAGTACGAGTTTTACTGTACTAGACTTATAATTTTTTACTTGGTTCGTAGAACTATTAATAATGCTTTTGGAAAAGTCAAGTTTACGCGAATTCCAATCTATTCGAGGGTTATATTTTTCTAGCCAGGATAAACCTAAAATAACTGGATTGGACGGGGATTTAATTATGTTAAAAGCTATGTAGCTATCATGACCGTCTATTGTTACTTTTATAGGATGAGTTTCATGAGTGACATCTCCAGAAGACAAGGGACGACCATCTATGACTTCTACATGTACTGGTTTAGGTTTCTGTACATAGGGTATTTTATGACTTTTAACAAATTGTTCATCTAAAAAACATGCTGAGGCTCCCGAATCTAATAAAGCAGAGGCTTTGTAATTCTTAGGTCCTAAATATAAGTCTATTATAAAACAAGGAGAGGGTTCTGAGGAGAGGATAGGACCTTCATTAGGAATTGTACAAGGTTCCAGCTGCACGGTCCCTATTGTAGCTGGACGAATCCGTTTTTCGACATGTTGTCTTCTTTGACCGTCGTACCCCTCATTTTATAGTTGCGTCGTTTCTTTGGACAATGTTGAGCAGTGTGCTTAGGTTCTCCGCAATATAAACATAATCCTTCTTGACGACGACGAATCTTTTCTTGCTCAGTTAGAGGTTTAAAACGTACCGCGTCAATTTGCATGTCTTCTACTTCCGAATGTACGTTTGGCAAAGATGTTGATGTTGCCATTGAGTAATAACGTTGAGGTTCCCGTGAATGATTCTCAGATCGAAATTCAAAAAGTCGATTATCACATTTTACCGCAAAATCGATTGCTTGACTCAAAGTTTGAGGATCAGGTAAGTTGAGCATCAATTTCTTTACTTCGTATTGCAATCCATAAAGAAATTGACTGATGAGTGCAGCATCATCCCACTTGATGTCAATTGCAAGTTGTCGAAATTGTGAAGCATATACTGTTACTGAGCGATTTCCTTGTCGCAGAATTCGGATCTTATTTGTTGCAACACGAGTTGCATCGTGTTCACCATACATAGATCGAAACTCCGCCAAAAAAGCTTCCAAATTGTCCAATATTAGATTTCGTTGTTCAAGAAAAGACGAAAACCACGATAATGCAAAACCAGAAAGTAGAGTGCCAATAAACCTGACTTGTGATCCTGGAGTTGGATAGCTTTGCGGTTGAAGTTCAATTGCCAATTGTACTTGATTGATGAACCCTCGAAACTTTGATCTCGTACCATCAAATTTCTCGGGTAAGGCAATTCTTGGTTCTCTAGTGCTTATAGGGTGTTGTACAATTGGAGAAGGAACGTGATTTGTTGTAGATGTTGAAGCAGCTCCGATCATCTCTATATCTCCACTTTCTGCTATTCTTGTTCTTTCCTGTGTTGGTGAATTGAGTTGATGCATCGCAAGCATTAACTCCCTCATTTGCTCTTGCATTTGTGCCATTGCACTCTTCATTTCAACAAGCTCTGCCATAATGACACTAAGAAGAAAAATTTGTTTGATATTGCTCAAGACAAAAGAAAAGAAAGACTTGATAACAAAGAAGATACTAAGAACAATATCAGTTTAGAAGTGGGTAATCCGCAAACTTCTAATACGCTTATGTCTTGTCAAGAGAAAGGGGTAATCCACTCTTACTCAAGAAAAAACAAAGCTCTGATATTGTAAGTGTACTCTTGTCAATCTGTCAAGGACAAAGACTCGATGAGGAAAAATATACACCAAAAGGCTATCTCGATATAATAAGTCAAAATATAAACAAGTAGGTATATTAAAAGGAAACTGGAATGGCTATTGCCACAAGACAAGAAACTAAAGACTCTTGAACCTGGACTAGAAGCAAGAAAGGAGTTGACAAGAGTGAAGAAGCCTTCACTCTTCTCTCTATATATACTATCTAACTAGGGGCTACGTGGCGACGTTCTATAGGACCTCCAATATGTGTTGACTTTGTAGGACACATGCCTTGACTTACAAGGCAAGTTTTTCTACGTGTGGGCCACATAGTTAGCTTGATCTTCAAGCTAACAACATGTGTGGCACATGGCCAACTTGTTGACCACGTTTCTAATCCAAAAAGTCAATTAAAGACACCTATGAAGTCAAAGCAGCGTCTAGGAAGTTTCTAGGAAGCTTCTATATTAAATATTATACAATTAACTTACTTTTATCTATTTTTACTTACTTCTACCTATTTCTATATGTAATTATTAGCTTACATGATTATGGCCGTGACAATCAATCAGAGTCTATGAAGATCTACTTTATATTTCATGTGTCCTTTCTTGAGCCATGTATGACAATGGATAGCTCGGGAAGTAGACAAATGCCACCTCTTCTAATAGAAATGGATAATAATCAAGAGTTCAATGTGAAAATAGTCTTAGATTCAAGGTAACATTGAAATAGGTTAGAATATCTTATTCATTAATAAGGATATGATATTAGTGAATGCACATAGAAGCCATCAAAGAATCTTGCAAATGTAGCAAAGAGAGTTGAAACTTTTCATTAATGACATTCATCAAAACGAAGATGAAGAATAACAAATCTTTGTTATAAAAGAAATAAGATCAAAAGAAGATAAGACTTTATCTTTCTATCCTTCTTTGTAGCTTCTATATATTTGTGATGCTAAGAAGATGGAAAACTAACAACCAATAGATTCAACTCAAGAACTTTTATTTGCGAACTTATTAGATAAAACATTGCGATTGTCATAACCTTAAAGATGACAACATTGAAATGAAGATCCTTAAGAATGACATGTCCTTTCTTAAATAGATGGTGAGATACAATGTATTTGATATCACAACCTTAGAAGACACTCCTAATGTTTGGTGATTTTATTAGAGATAGGAACAACTCTTAACAATGTTTCAAATGTTTTATTTGAAGGAAGTTACAAAAGTCTCAACAACATCCAAATAATAGAGTGGTCTTCTTGCCTTGATATAAGACACTATCAATGGTTGAAAAGATCTATCAACCATCTTTGAAGAAAACAAAGCTTAGAATATGTAGCAAACACAATTCGTCGCATCTTGAATTTTTTCAACATATGAAGACTGTTCTTTCTGGAACTCGCTCCTAGAAGGAGAAATAATGTCATAGATATATATATGTACTTTAATAAATATCCATATTTTTAAGTAGAAAAAGGTGAAAATAAATAAAAGTATGTTAATTTCATAATACCTTCAAGAAAAGCTTTCTAGAAGCTTCATAAATATTGCTTTGACTTTACATGTATTTGTAGTTGATTGGTAGGTTAGAAACTTGATCAACAAGTTGTCTATATGGTACACATATAGAAAACTTGCCTTGTAAGTTAAGATATGTGTCTTCAAAAGTCAACACATTTTAGAGGTCCTATAGGACATCGCAATATAAGAGTATATATGGAGGCAAGAGTGAAGCCTTCTTCACTCTTGTCAATGCCTTTTCAGTCTTTAGTCTTATTTCAATACTTTCTAGTCTTCTTGTTTTTAGCAATAGCCTTTCTAATTCAATATTATATCATCTTTGAGTAACTTTCTAGTTCTTTTTAGTGACAAAAGAATGTTTTGAGGATTTTCTTTCTTCGAGATTCATGTACTTGACACTTTGTTGTTATGAAATTGGTGAGGTTTTAGGTATTAGAGAATCCAATCTTATTTCACATATACTTTTTCAAAATCTAACAAGAATAATATCAAGATTTGTTAACTTTCTATAGCCCAATCTATAGCCAATTGAACAAAGACATTATCAAAAATGCAACATCCCAAAACAAATGTTGTTTGAGAGCCTTGTATCCAAGTATGTAAGAATTTGATCATTCTATTAGGTAAGATCTTTGCTATAATTTTGTTTACTGCTCCAAGGATTGAGATGGGGTGAAAATTTGTGATAAATGTAAGTTTGCCTAACTTTTGGTAGTAAAGAAATCTTGTTGTAAAGAAATCTTGTTAGTGTTTAAGGAGCGGCAGATTGTTTTAATAGAGAAGACCTCAACTAGGCTAAGAAGATCCTAGGCTGTTTCATCTATAAAAGCTTGAAAGAAGTCCATTGGAACTCCATCTATACCAGGTGCTTTGCCATGGGGGAGTTTTTTAATCGCATCAACTACTTACTTCCTGCAGTATGGGTGGTTTCAATAGTTCCCGACCTTGTTCCAATGTTACACAGTGAGGTGCACTTGTGAAACAGTCCTGCCGAGCTTGATCGTTGGCTTCTACTGCATCCGAATAAATCGGTGAACTTATCCCACTGCATTCGAATAAATCGGTGAACAGTCTGAGTTTATGAGGCCTATTCCTTAGCCATATCCTTAATCTGTTCTATTGAGAAAATTCCATTATAATAGTCATAAATTAAAGCCCTGATGACTGCTGCAGCCACGTCTTCCACCCTCGTTGGGGGAGCAAGCAAGAGGTCGGATGCAGGTAAATTCTTCAAGGGACGAGTGAGTGTTGAAGTAGCCTCTAGAAGCTTCTCCAGTGGCTCTCCCAAAAGGTGTAAAGGAATGTCGATGCCATAAACCTTCTTTGTCCCGAAAATTATACCTGGTCGTAGCACAATTCCTAATATTGAAGCGAACACACAAAGACCATTAGCGTTCGTAGTAAGAAATCAGCTGACTGACTTAGAAACGAAACTTTATCGTCATCAGAAAATTACAGTTCTACAGATGCATATTTCAACAATAGGTGGTTTTAGACCTGAGCAAAAAAAAAAAAAAAAAAAAAAAAAAAAAAAAAAAGTGCATTGACTTTGTTTTTTCGCTTTTATCGAGAAACTAGTAAAAAGGACAACTATGCGGCAACGTACCAGAGGTAGGAAAGACAGTTAGAACCTCCTGTTCTGTTTTTCGCTTAGCGGCGAAGTAGCCATTGTTCAGAGCAAACTCTGGCAAGTTATAGTCGTGCACAGAGATATATACAAACTTCTGAACACCTGGAAACACAACATAGCTCGTACTCAAAAGCAGGTTGATGATATTCTTCTGAATGCTTACATCCTTACGTTCTCGCATAGTACTCATAGCATTGTTCACTCTTGTTGACATTGAAATGAATTCTCATAAGATGTGGAATAAAACGCATGCTTGTCAAGGTGGACAATCTAAATACAATGTATTGGCATAACAAATTGAGACAAATAGAGGAACAAGTCGTTGTGCACTCACCAGCCTTCTTAGCAGCAGTTAAAGCAAGAATATTAGCTTCGGCATTAATCCTCTCCATCTGGTCATTGGGTCCAAACATACCCAGAGTTGAGACTACCGCTTCCACTCCACCAAGGAGAGAATCCCAGTCAGTAAGAAACACATCACCTGTTTCCACCGCACATCCACGCCACAGCCAATCGATCAAAAAAACTCCATGTTATTGAAATCTTGAGGTCTGTTGCTGAACAATTTAACCCCGAGGCATCTGTCGGTAGAGTGCTAATAAAATGCACCCAATAGCAACCTTCACAAGTAATTTTTCCCTCTTCAAATTGTATGAAGTTACCACATGATTTACGATATTGTTGTTGCAAGCGAGGTCATGAACTCAACCTAAAATCAACTCTTTAACGATTGAATGACGACTGGCTTGCCTGCTACCCATGTGACACGATCAGCCCACGGTGCCGAACTCGACGGGCGTCCCGACCTACTGAGGCTCACAACAGAGATGCCCTGCAGAATAGCTGCCTTGCACACCTCAGTGCCAACGAAGCCACTACCGCCCAACACCAGGATCTGCAAGAAAACAATGACGAATTCAGAGCATAGCAGTCAAGGACATGCATTGCTATGGGAGCAGGCTACATCACATGGGCAGAACCAAAGGAGATCAATAGATTGTACTAACAGAATGACAGTAACAACGTCCGATGTTAAGTTTGAAAGGAGATTAGGAGGGTGAATGTAATAGCTGTTTACCTTCTGAGGCCTGGTGCTAGAAGTCACGTCACTTGAAGTAGGGTTGTAGTCCGGGGTGTTGGTGAAGCCCGCGTATGTTGCGTTCACTTGCCGCCTGGAGATGTCACAAGGGTTATCCGGTCCACGAGAAACGTTATTACAAAGGAAGCTGAGACTCAAACATTCTCTACATCCATGGACATGTGGAATTGATTCCATGCCCATGGCTGACTAGGGGAATTCAATTCGCGTCAAGAGTGTCGCCTACTTCTTTCTCAATTACACAATTATGCGAAGCATGCATTCTCTAAGTGAACTGGAATTGACTATAGTGGGATACCAGGCGATTGCGGAGAGACAACAGCACAATGCAAGCTCGGTACATCGCCGACTCAACGATCGTTCCCGTGAATGAGTACGAGGAGCGAGAGTTAAGAAACCTAAAAGCCCCACACTCTTCTCAGATCATAATCCCCAAGTCCTGGTTCCAACTATGAACATCCATTCTCCGTCCTCGGAAACTCCCTTAGCAATTGAGCAAAACCACATGATAGAATTTTTCCAAGTGCTCGGGCAATCATAGTTTACATCATCCGCAAACCCAACCCACCAAACGTTTCAAAAAAGCTAGACCAGACCAATCTTCGATATCATAGTGTAGTGTGTCTCACCAGTTGTTGCAAGTCCACTGCAATTGGCCACCACTTAACCTCTCAGAAGGCATGACCATCCCCTGGCGAAAGAACCCACAAGACGACAACGCAGTGCCGGGTACCTCACTCCGGCAGCTTGAGCTAGCACTCGCGCCGGAGCGAAGCACACAAGAGGTAGAACCCACAGCAGCAACAGAAGTCGCCATAGCTGTCATTTCGAAAAACCAAAAACCGAGACCTGTCACTTCGTTTCATCTGAGTCACAGCAAGCAATTTATGACTTGCGATGGTGTTCCTTCAATCCACGCACGGCTTTGCTCTCGTCACTCCCACTCTCCTCCTCCACCCCCAAGCCCGACTTGTCAGCATTTTTCTCGTGGGTTGGAAGCTTCGTTGTCGTCAATCCACGCGATTCGGGGCAAGAAAATCGGACATAAAAAATCAGACACAATTCCCATGTGCTTAAAAAAATCCCTCTATCCAGTGAAACCGACTCCGTGGGAAGCGATTAGTGTAGCGCTGAGAGACATCAAGAATGCCCCCGCAGTGAGCTCATCCAGTGGACATCAGGAAGAGGGGATGGCAAGTGACAATTCCGCATCCCCCAAGTGACAATCCCCGTGAAAACATCCGTTGAATCTGAGCTCACTCACTCACTCATGCAAGTCCCGGATTTGCCTTTCCTTCCGAAACCTCTGTGTTCGATGAACAACAGCAACTCTATTCCCCCACACGCACACACACAATGTGCACACAACGAGAGTGTGATTGCTATGCTGCCTGAGACTTCTTCGTGAGATGCTGCTGCTGCTGCTGCCGCAACTTCATCGCATCTGTGAAGTTGCTTCCAGAGCAGCATTGCACGATGCTGATTCTGGTTGCGGACTCATTTTTGTGGTCATGTCGTAGACCGTGATTTCCATCAGCTCGCTGCCATTTCTATTCCAATTGTTTTTATCATCCTTTGTGTGCAACTAAAACCTTAACAAAAAATTCGTATTGTTTTTTTAAGAGACTCCTTCTGTATTTGAGTTTTCTACGATGGATGTGTCGGCTGTGAATTATGAAGTTTTTTTTTTTTTTTTTTTTATCCTAAATTTTTTTAAACAGAATGAAAATTGAATGGATTTTTTTGTTAGGAAAATTGAATTAGTACCTCGTATGCCATATTTGAATTGCATACAATGGTGTTGTTAAAATATATATATATATATATATATAGATATGGAGTTGTTAAAGCCACATCCTTACAACCTCATGATCCATCCTATATCTCTGTCCATCTCATGTCTCCAACCTTGTCCCCACCCCTTTACCCCCACCCAGTCCCATCCCTACCATGTTTTAAGTTTTGAGTTTTCAATTATTCCCAATAACAACTTTATCCAAATTCTCAAATTTGAGATATACACTTGTAAATATTGTTTATTTTAAATATTATTCATTACTAAATAATGTTAAAGATTGAATCAAAATAATGTTTTAAAAGACTGTATTTCTATCAATAGATTTAAGTGATGTTTGAGAATTGCAAGTTCTAACATTCAATCAAAGATAAAACTTTCTGAATTGCAAGTTTTCCTTACATATATGGAAACAAAAAATTATTGTATATGTAGCCATACATACATTTTCTTTGTGGACAATGTTTGCATGTTAGATTCTAGCATTTATCTCCTTACCATTAAATTGTGAAATTAGATTAATAATAATTATATTATTAATAATATTAATTTCAACAATTAACTTGCATAATAACAAAGCAATATGATTTTCCTGTTATTTTTTATATTATTTTTTATGATGTATTTTATTTAAAAACTATCATATATTTGTACATACATAATGAAAGAAAATGCGTCATAATATTAAAATTTACACATAAATTTATAGTTTTACTTCTTGCATCCTTTAACTATTATTATTTATTTATTTATTTATTTATTTATTGTTACTCAATCATCATGATTATCCAAATTTCTAGTGTGTTTAATTTTATTAAAATAAAATTTTTATAAATTTAAACAAATCAACCAAGATACTTTTTTTATATTAAGTATTTGTCTCACTTCTAAAAATATATATTTGCATGTATTTTAACAACTTGTACAAAAGTTTTTGTTTACTACAATTTTTTATAAAATTAAATTTATAGATACAAATCAAAAATATTTTGAATAGATTCTTAAAAACTTGTGGTTTTTCTACCCAACATCAAATCTCACGTCAAGTTTTATCCACATAAGTTTTTATGTGCCCCTTTTAAAATTCATTTTAAAATCATATTACTTTAATTATTTGTTTATATACATACATTTGCATATACATACAAACATATTAAAATCAAATAACTGTGTTTTATCACCTCATTAAAAATATTTATTCCAATTAAAAATTAGCAAGTGAATACCTCACATTGGAGAATTTGGATAAAGTTGTTACTAGGAATAATTGAAAACTCAAAATCTATAGACAGGATAGAAACAAGACTGAGAACAATAGTTGGGAATGGAAAACAACGACTAGAAATGGGGGTTGAATACATGAGTCAGGTATAGAATGGATCATGAGGTGGCAAGGGAATGTGGCTTTAACAACTCTCTCTTTCTCTATATATATAATGTACAGATGGAATTCTTCTTTTAAGAATAAAAGGAATATTAATAATTAAATTTCAAAATTAAAATTAAAATTAAAATGATAATAGTTAAAAAATACATAACAAAAATTGCATCAAATCCATTGCCAAATAATCCAAATTTTAAAAAAAATCTTTATTATTTTTGGTTTATGATTATGATAGTAACTTATTAATTATTTGATATTTCACTTTAAGGTGATTTTTTTCTAGGAAAAAGTCCTAAAAAAAAAAATTGTCTCTAACTTCTACCTTTCATCACAATGTTGGTACATGTTAGATATATATATATATATATATATATATATTATAGTAATTAGATGGATCATGAAAATGGTATATGAGAGTGATGGCATATGTCTTTTTTGAAAAAATCCATCCTAATTAAAAGTATTCAATTACTAACATACTTGTTGATGTTTATATATAAACTCTTTTACTTTAATGTAAAAACTAGGATAAGATTTTATGGTTTTGTTTGGGAGGATTCATTTAGAGGTAGCCTTTATTATAATGGATCTTGTTACTAACAGTGTAATTATGTATATTTTTTAACAATCGGTTACAAGTCGGGCAACAATGAAGAAAATCATCAGAAGATTATGCAGATTAAATACTTCTGACCCTTGGTATAAAAATGTGGATCCTGTTCCATCTGTATTCCATACAGAAAAATCAATTACACTTTGAAATTATCAATAAATAAATAAATAATCGAGGATACAAAAATCTCTATTATGTGGTTTTGCGTATTTATCAAATCCTACAAGACTTGAGCCGCTTAATTTTGTAATTTCATGTGAAAATTGCTTTCTCATCTTATCTATTCTTAAGACCGAAAAGAAAATTAACATTGTTATTGTGGAGGAACTATTAAATTTACCAAAATGCAAAAAATTGAATTTTTAGCATAGTATTTTTAGCAATGAAACAATATTTTGATAAATTGTATGTTGCAATCAACTTGGAGTACTTTATTGATACTCAAAATACAATAAATGCATAAAATGCAATATGAACAAAGTAACATGATATTTTGCACCCACCATATCAGGTAGCACCTTTGACCAATACACATCATTGCCAAATTCACATCCAAAACACCTTTGTTTATCATTTACAGAACAAAAGAAAAAAGAAAAAAGAAAAATGAATATCACAACGGAAAGTATCACAATACTTGTAGAAGATAAAAAAATTCAAAAATCCCATTAGAGGAATTGTTCAAGTTTATTTGCATTGACTGATACATAAAGTTATTGGTACATTCTATTAGAACTAATCAAAGCATTTACATTCACATTCTTATTCTTATTCTTAGGACACAAGGTGAATATTCTCACGAAGGTTGTATCTTTTATATAAAATAAATAAAAAATAAAAATATGTTGAGTTACAACTGTGTCTTTTTTAAATTTTCTAATAAAAAACGCAAAAAAGAAAAAATCATTTCTGATACCCAATGCTCTTAAATGACATCCAAAGGTACCCCAAAGTGCAAAACTGGATAGGATGAAAGGTTGTGGTGGAGATGGGCTTGAGTCCCACCCTCTCTATCTACATACACATACAAAAAGATATACATATATATATATATATATATATATGTAAAGAAAAGTATAGAAAATGTACTAAAAAAAAGCTGCATAGAATGCATAGAATCTTGTCTGTGTCATTAAGTGTGCCTCATTTGTGGCAGAGGCTCACCTTGTGCTTGCTAATCATACTGTACAGCAAACACTAATTGACAAAAAAACACTAGACAAAATTATAGACAAAATCTGTAGAAAAGTATTAATCACAATTGAGATCCTGAATTCAATCAGAAAATTATTAAAAAAGTGAAGAAAAAAAAAAGAAAGAAAGAAAAAGAAGAAGAATTATTCAAGCTAAAAACTGGTAGTAGTCCATATTGCCATCTCAGTGAAATTGTATATTACAAACACAATGAAGAGGAAGACAAAAAGAAGAAGAAGAAAAAAGTAATGTTATTAGAAATCAATAGATTATTGAAAAAGTTTGAAATTTGTATTTGCAAACATAGATTGAGAAGAGTGGTTGAAGTAAAACAAAAAATACTTTGAATTATAAATAGGTGCATTAGTGTTATTCAGTGTAAGTGGTTCAAGTCAAAACTTATCATCACAGATTCAATAACAGGTATTACTTTCAATTTAATGTGATTAGAATGTAATTGGTTGTGTAATATTACTTTTCAACTAGTATTTTATTTCAACATGTTTAATTTATTTTAATTCTAATAAATAAAAATCTACATTAATTTAAAAGAAACTTATATTAAAACTTTAAAATGTCATGTATAAGAAAAAAAATTAATTTAAAAGACTATACAATATATATAATAGGCCAACACTTTTTTTTTGAAGTATTATTGTATCTATAATATTAAGAGCTTTAAAAAAATATAAAAAGATCAAGATAGTATATATATATATATATATATATATATATATAGAGAGAGAGAGAGAGAGAGAGAGAATAAATAGTTTGATATTATACTATTTTATTTTATATGATACCTAAATTTATAAAAAAATTATAAAAAATAAAATAATACTCTATATATATGTATATATGTATGCATATATGTAAATATATAAATGCATAAAAATATATTGATATTTTTATTATAGACACAAAAATTAAAACTTTAAATACAAATATTATTTTAGAAATATAAAGAAAAGATTCTTTTTATAAAAATAATTATAATACATGATAATTTTTTTATAATAATGTTATATTAAATTTATTTAAAGTTACATATATAAGAATATATCATAAATTTATTTTTTAATAATTAATTTAAATTATAATAAATTTTGTATATGTAATAGATTATATAATAAATTTGAGGTAGATTTGCAAGTCCATTTAAATATATTGCATGGTTAAAGATTTTTTTTTTTTTAAATATTTGAAACAAAGAAGCTAATACAAAAGCATAAAACATCTTAGATACTTATTCCACAAGCTTTTAAGAAGCTTCCATATAGACATTTTGTAAGCAAGTATATACATAAGTAGAAGGCTTAAACCATTCACTAATTGAACAACACCTTTCTTGTATTTTAGTCTTAATTAAAGACTTTCTAATTTATTTTAACTAAATAAAAACTATTTTATTTTGATACTACTTCAAAAGAATTTATATATATATATATATATATATATATTATTATAATTTTATCATTAATATATATATTTTTATTTCTAATATATATATATATATATATATGTATATATAATTAATATATAATTAATTTTTTTTAATAATAAATAAGCTATTATTTAATAATCTAACTTATTATAAAGTTGATAAGTCTTGATATATAATAAAATAATTATATCTTATTACTAACTTTGAATGATTTTATTATTTAAAAATAAATAAATAAATCCACATTAGCCTTGTCTTCATTTTGAGCCTCTATTAATTGTTGCTAAGAATAAGAACTTGATGAATGAAAATAAAAAAGTGACTTGTTTCTCAAAGAAAGATAACAAAAAAAAGAAATAAATATGTGTATTTAAAAAAAAAAAAAAAAAAAAAAAATGATAATGGCTAATGAAACTTCTAAGAAGTTATTTTATTATTTTAAAATCATTTTTGCTAACGGCTAGAGAGTTGTCAAATTTTTTTGGTGTTAATTAATGGTATATAAGAAATATTAGTTTTATACTTGTTTTATATGTTTTTTTGTTCATTAATTTAAAGATATAAAAAGAAAGAAAAAAAAAAAAACTTGATATTAAGCTTAATATATTTAAATCTATATTCCATATCTTTAATACAAACTAGTGTTTTTAATTAGATATAACATCACTTAGAAGTCTATAAAATTGATAAATATTAATAAAAAAAAATATTATTTTAATATTAATATTTTTATATAAGATATAAAATAAGTTAGGTTTATTAAATAATCTACCATCATAAACATAGAGTTGTAAGAATTTGAGATTAGAAGATTTATAATAAAGTCTATTGAAATAAATTATCAAGATTATTTTTAAATACATATAAATTAAAAAAAATAATGGGATCAATGAAAAAAGTCTTTGGTTACAAAGAAGTGTCACAAGATTCAAAAAATGTTTTGAAATTTTTTCTCATATTAGTCTAATAAAAAAAAACATAAAATTAACTTTAAAATTATGTTATAAAAAAAAATGTCGTTGTTAAAAAGCCATGTTGTGCTTCAAGTACACATAAGCTTGCTTAACTTTTTAGAATATATAAACGTTCTTTGTGATATAACATATTATCTTAAAATTAAATTTACTCATATTATTATAAAAGATGTTTTAAATATAAAAAATAATAATTTTTATTAATATATTTAAATAAATTATATAAAACATATTAGTATCAAATAAAATTGTTAACTTATTGGCTTAAAGATATAATTACTACAGTTCAAAATAAATAGTGCATTGTTCATTATATATATCATTTGATATCATAATAACAAATCCGGTGTTTGTCACCGGATTTGTTATTATGATGTGGTTCAAGATAATTTTTTTTAAGACAATATTTAATATTAAATATAAATTTTGAAAGAAAGTATGCTCAAAGGTATCAAGTTGTGTAAATTATAGCTTCAAATTGTCTCATGTATCTAGATGTAGAAGAAATATATTTTATAATAAAAAATTATAAAAAAAATAAAGAAGGTATTTAGAAATATCGCTCTTGACAATCATGATCTTAAAAATTCTAAACTTAAGTACTTTCTAAACCATATCAATTCTAAATCATGTGTGATAAAATCAATTTCAATTTTTAAAAAATATTATGCCTTATAAAGAATCAAACATGAGAAACAACATAGAATCTATTGAATAGTGTAATTTGTGAAGAGAGAAAAGAGTATACCTTGTGGATAATAGTGGAGAATGATACATAGGGAGATGCGGATCATCAAAAGACAACTTGTTCTCTCATCCCAACATCATAATAACAAATCCGGTGAAACAAATCCTCAAATATAACCGTATCACTTTCCACAAAGGATATCAATTGTGCATTCAATCATTGCTTCCTTGTTGGCCAATGTTAGTTCTCCTTGTGCAATTTTTCTGGATACCGATTCCTCCTTGTTTGATAACCCTCAATTGAACCATTTTTCTTCCATTGGCCCCTTCCCCAACATGATGTTCAACCACATGGCCAAGTACTTGTAGTAATGAAGAAACATAGATGAAAGCCCCAAAGGGGTTGTGACAAAACCTTGGGAAAGAGGAGTCCCCATACACCTGCTTTTTATTCACATGTGGACTTGAGTGACACAAAAAACACAAGAAACAAATAAATAAATGGGGCAATACGTGGAGCCACCCATGTCGATCATGAATGAAAGAAGGCCAAAAAGAAAAAAAGAAGCAAAGATGGCACCCTCACAAGTGGGGAGGAGAAAAAGGGGCAATGGAGGAGGGGCTGTGAGCATTGCAGCCAAAGGTGCATTATCATGTCGAAACGAAGAAGAACAAAAAAGAAAATAAGCTTATTCAGCAAGTTCTGATCCAAATCACGCCTGCAAAACCTACTTTTTGCGCATCAGTCTGTGTGTGATCCTTCATGCGCTGCTGAGTTGGGAGCATCGTCGTCTCTGCCGTTGTCGTCTTCGTCTTCGTCTCCATCTGGGCCGCTTTTTGCCGTTCGATGACACTGCGTTGTTTTGTGGCCACATCGTCTGAGTACCTTTAGATCCTATCATGTAACCGATATCATTCTTCTCTCACAGTTTGACTTCGCCACTTGCTCACAACTCTCAAGTCCAACGTCGCCGTGAATTATTAACGTCGCGACTCGCGGCGCAGACTTATCCCGTGTGTCTACTGCTGGGTGCATACAGCTGGGCCGCGGCGCCTGCTGTCAGTCTGGCCCCAACTGCCTCTCGCTCTGGTCAGGCCCCTCCATGCTTGATCTGGTTTCGCTCGTAGTGTGATCCGCCCCCTAAACCGCAGCATTGGCTGTCGTCGAAGTTTTCAGGTTTAAGCTACTGTGAGAGGTCCATGCTGTTGCAGGCGCTGCCAAGTTGTGGGGTGATGGCTCAGTACTGCTGATAGTGTATCTTCTCCCTGATTCTTAGTTGGGATCCTTCGGTGTCGGTTTGATAGATTCTCTGCAGTGCCTGGTTTGAGAGTTGTGCGTCTGATGTCCAGTTTGCTCTGTGTCTTGCTTTGATGTTGCAGCACTTGTAAATTGAGTTGGGTATGGGCAACTGAGTACAATTTGGAAGGTCGATTTTAGGACCGTGACAAATAATCGGCTTGTAAGGGTATCTGGGAGAGATTTTGAGGGTTTGCAGTTATTGCGCAAGTAGTTTCTGGATCGAGTTTAGCATAATCTGTCGTGCAGATGTTTGATCGTTGAGTCTAGTGCTGTTTTACTCTTTCCTGTACACTGCGGCGTATTATACTCCGGCTTCACTCAGATTCATTGGTGGTTTTATGAAGAAAGTTCCGGGTTGCTGTTGTATCTGAATTCCACGGGTCGCAAGGAAATTGTCGCTGATGGCGCAGGTCGAGGGTGGTGCCGGCGATGGGGGTAATCTGTATCTCCCCTCGGATATCTTACGCAAAATGTTGGACCGCGTTGATGCGAAAACTCTTGCTAGAGTTAGTTGTGTGAGCAAGCGATTCCGCTCCATTTCATCCGAAGAATCATTCTGGGAGAATCTATGCAACCAGCGGTGGTCATCAACAAGGGAACCTTCCGTGAAATCTCTCATCTCATCAGCAGGAGGGTTTAAGAAACTTTACAACAACTGTTTCCCTTTCATTTTGTCCAATTCAGAAAGCACACCCAGCCGAGGATTCGATCCCACCGACAGGGAGAATTCCTCTCCATCTAGTTTCATGTCGATTGTAGACGTCACATTCAATGGTAAGCCGGTGTTGTCACGAGTTGTTAACGGCATTCCTGGTGCTTGGGAGCCATGTGGACCCCTGGTGGACATCCTTGATGCGGCAACGATGGCTCACGCGGGCCATGGGGTGTCAATTACCAAGCAAGACGAGCATGGTGCTGTTCTCACAATCTACAACAAAATTCCCGAAGTGTCTTCCACGGTGCAGGAGTGCAGCGACAGCCCGTTCAGTCCAGTAGAGTTCTGCAACAGAATGCGCGTAAGCTGGATTCTGATCAACACGAAGACGCAACAAATGGTGAACCTCAGCAGTTGGAAACCTCTGAGCGCAGTACGCCACCGGCCCTTCAGTGACGATTTCCTCCTCCGCTTCGGCTCCATCCTCCAGACCCCTTCCGTCCCCGTCCACTGCAACATCACCATGCGGTGCAGGACATGCACAGTTGTGACATTGAGTCACAATGAAGTCCAGGGACACCAGGTCAGGTTGGGCGCCACAACTGCCGTGAAAGTCACAGAGCTCAGCTTGCACCTCGAGAACATCCTGGGCGCGCACATCCGCGGTGGAGAGGTGATGTCACTGCTCTCGCTGGCAATAACTTCCGACAAGACTGTCGACGAGAGTAAAGCCTCTGGAGTTTACAACAACTTCAGTGCAACGCAGTCCTTGAACCGAGAAGCTCTGATCCGCCAAGAGAATCGACGTCAAAACGCCGGCGCTGTCTTCTTCGTTGGAATCATCGTAGTTCTCATGTCCTTCTTAATCTAGATCGTTTCACAGCTGCACCCACCTTCACATTGGCGTCAATGCACGCCATTGTTTCTAATAATCGATAACATCTGCACATGCTCGTCACATTTTGCAACACCCCATCGTTAATTTTTGAGATGCTGAATCTGCATTTCCATTCGTGTTCCACGATATTGTGGCACTGTTCGGCATTGTTCGGCACTTATCTCTGAGGTATGACTGCTACAGCAACTGAGGACTGTGTATTTATGTATGATCTAGATCCACAAAGTTTGCAGATTCCTTTAATACCTAAATATTGAGATGCCAGTCTATGATCCAACCTCTGAATCAAACCATGTAAAACTTAGCAGCACTTGCACATAACAATCAATAATGAAAATGAACCACAAAATGATCCCTGTGTCACTCCAGCTCTGTGATTTTTAAGCAACCATTGATGCTGTCCATTCCTGCACAATTCGTTGATCTAGCTTCGAACATGTAGAGTTGTGTCTCATTTTCGTTTTGGCACCATTGTTTGAGAATCAACTGTTTTGAGGTTGTTTGATAACTCCCACGTCGGAGCAACTCGCCATGGCAGCATCGTGAAGTTCGACCTCTTTATCAAAGCAATGCCATCATCTTTCAGAAATTGGGTTTTTTGGGGAACTATGTGTTTTAGGGCTCGGGGCATTGAAGCTTATGCTGTCAGCAGTAGCCGACTAAGTGAGGGTCTCCACATCGAGTTATTGAGGTAGAAAAGATTCCAGTCACATGGGTATTTAAATCAAAGCGCATTGAAGATGTCTGTGCATGGCCAGACTTGGCATGTTGAAATGATGCCGCAGATGATGAACAACAACAAACCATTTGTTGATTGAGAGGCTCCAACTCGCGATTGGTGATGGTGTTATATGTAGTTGATGCGAGATGCGGTATCAGGGGTTGCTTGTAGGAGTTGTGTTGCACCACATCAAAGTGAAAAATGGTATTGGAATCTCGCTTCTTTCTTTTAGCGAGGGCGGTGTTTGAACGGAGGTCCTTTATTCGCATGTCAGAGTGGGACGATAGAGAATTGTCGAGAAGCTTTTGTACAAGCTTTTGTACCTTTTAGTTCAGTTCACCCAGCTCGGCATAAATGAAGGATTCTTTCAAGAGTAATGTCCGAAGTATGCTGCTCTTCTTTCTAGGTACCCAATGTTTAGAAGGGAGCTGCGAAGACTTCGCATTAATGTCAGGCGTTCTCTTGAGTGATGGTCAGTATTTCACTGCGCCTTATTGTCTTGTGTTACCATTCTAAACTTCAAAGCTTGCAGGCTCTTGATTTTCCTTTCGTCAACTCAGCTAGCAATCCTGGCAATGAAGCGTTCATGGCATTCTGCTACCTCCACAAGTGAAGCTAGGTCATCTTTCACGAATTTCTAGAGATGTTTTTCGAGCGCTTGGAGTCGAAAATCAAACCGGTGGCTCCTATTTCGATGCAGACGCTTTCCTTGCAATCTATGGGTGGTATTTGAATTTTTATTTATTTATTTATTTATTTATTATTTTTTTTGTCTTTGTTTAGTAGCCCATCATCCATGATGTAGGACAAGAGATTTTATTCCTTGGATGGTAGAGTAGAGAAGAAGGAGAATCAGGTGTTTTGCAAGTACTGTGAACTTCTAATAATCATTGCATGATTTGATGTGGATATATCTTAAGATGTCACTCTAGTTAAGACTTCTCGCTGTAGCTTAGGAGTTTGATTCCGTGGATCTCCTCGTGAGTGTTGATGCTACCAACGAAAAACTCTAAATCATTGTCAGATTTCTCTTAACCGGCCTTTAGACTTGGTATTTTCTACAATCTGTTTAGAATTTCTTGGAGTGACGATGTGTAACCATTCCTAGACGATGTTTTTCATGTCTTTTTTTTTTTTTTTTTTTTTTACTATTATGCGGAACTTCATTGCATTATCTCAGGTTACAATGATACGGTTACTAGTGTTATAACCCAGCATACACATATGATCAAAATGTCTCTAATTGGGATTTGCAGGTCATTCCTGAAAAACTCTTTGGTAGTGGAAATGGACGGTTTTGACACCCAGTAGGTCAGTTTATAGGGCAGCTGAGGGTACTTTTGATCCACTTCAAATTTGAGTGAAGACATGGGTCAGCAAATCCTGGGAAATCCAGATTGGATCCCTGCTTCTTACATGTTTGAAATTGTGCTCATTTGATTGAGCCGTCGTATTTAGACCCAGGGTTGAAAACGTACATACAAAGTTATGGAGCCGAATATTGACATACTCCTTGGCACTATAAAACTTAGATTAATCGAGGTACGTAATGCATTTGTGCCGTTGGCTCTCTAAGTTCTCACAAGAAGGTACAATCGCAACATCTGCCTCCTTTCCTGGTACACTGTAACTTGATTTATTTTTTCCTCGTTTTTTCGGAGTTCTTATAGTAGTTAACAGTGAAACATATCTTCCACGTAGTCAGGCTGCAATATTCTTCAATATTAGATAGCTCTGATTCTTGTACTTCAACGCACTAGCGTGATTGTGATGGGCTTCCGTCATGTTGCAGGGATACATCTTTGGTGAGGTCGATCTCTCTAGATAGGATCACACAATTGGACTCTTCGTTTTCCACAGGTGGTACTTCGCCTTCAGTTTTGTGATCATCACATCCAGCATCACCCAGAAGCGAAGTGTGGTCTCGTGAAGTACACTTGTAATTTGACCAGTTCAGTTGCCATGAGATTCTAAAACCAAAAAGCTATGAAAAGCATCAATGTATCATAAAAAGCTAATCGTACCATTGAAAAGCAACATTTGATCCTTTAATCCTTTGACGTACCTTCAATCGACCAAACTGCCAAGCAATAACTATTAGTGAGTGCAACTCAGCATTAGACAAGGAAGAAACCTCCAGAGAGACAAATCGATAGTTACCACCTTCTAAGCGAAAGTAAATAAGCATCGTAAGGACATGCTCACATATTGTTACATTACAGATAATCCATTGAGCCGAAATCATAGCTTCGTCTTAAACTGGGTTGGTAACAGATTATTGACGCACACCGGTGCATGCAGGTCATCATCACTTGAGCAATATGCTAATATACAGCAGTCTCAACAGTGGGAATGTGCAGATAGGAAGAAAAACAAACACCGTCAAAGTGGGGTATGCTGTCTGGCCATTTGATCCACTTGGTCACACGACACAGTGCCTCGTACTAGCGCAAGAATTGCACACAAAGGAAGCCTCCACGGAGGAGTCAAAGTACCTAGTGTTTGCGTTCACTCTCTCAAGCTGGCATTGAAACAGTGACTCATTACTTCACTTTCGAGCTTTCGAATACAATGACTCTACATCACGTCTACCTAATGCCCATACCACTTGAAATTACTGAAGCCACTGCTGGTCACAGTTCCCTTTCAAAATCTACCGAGCTGAAAATTTCCAGTATCTGCATAGCTCATCACCTATATATATATATATATATATGGGGAAAACTCATGATAACTATCCACTGTTGAGATCCCAGCAAACAGTAATTTATTTATTTTTAGTTCGTTGGTTCTGTGGTGGGACGGTTATAACCATTCTGTACCCCAAATTGACAAAGTAATAACTATTTATTTTCGTATTACCGGGGGACTGGGAGACAAAGATAAAGGAAAGGCAACCTTGAACACTGAGTTGCACGTAGTGAGGCTAATCGACAAAAACTTTCTGTATACTAATCATCTGGTTTACCGATTTCCCTCAAAGGAAAACTCCCCCCAATTGATTTTTAAGTGGTTTGAAAATCGAATTGAAATATTCGCAACTGCATATTCCAACTTCTCGTACCCTTTGTAAGGGGAGGTGTACTCATTTAAAAAATTACGCCAGCGAGGTGATGCTGTTTACGGGGAGGTGGTAACATACATGTGCATAAATAGCAAACTGTTTGTACCTGCGTTGACAGGAAAATTTGGGCGCCGAGGGCAAACAGTGCATCATGGGTGCATTGTGAATATGGTACCTCTAGAATAAGAATCCTCAAGATCTTCCATCTATTCTGTTTCTGTTTTAGCATACCCTTCAAGAATTTCTAGACATTATTCTATGCTCGATCGTTACTGCTGTAAAAATACTGTGCTTGCCAGCCTGGTGGTGGTCATCACAAGCTAACAAATCGTTCTGCGCCTGAAACGAGTTTTATCTTTCTTCCACATTACCCTTTTATCGAAGCTCAGACAACCCTTCTTTCCTGGTCAGTTTCCGTCTCCGTCATGTGAACAGCAATATTTTGCGGTTTGATTCAGTAGAAGCTACCAAGTTTAACGGTGGCAGTAACCATTTGGACAGAAAGCTCTTGTGTCCGGCCGTTAAAGTTGAGGTTGACGGGGTTTTCCGTGAAGATGATACGGTATTTTATTCAAGGTTTTCACACCTAGTACCTCCAATGCCAGCGAGCTGTCAGTCTTACAGATTCATCCAATGAAGTGCGTTTCATAACAAGGATGGTATGATGAGAGGTCAGAAGTTTTGCATGGAGGCAGACTTTTCTCAGCATTAGAATACTTGTTTCATCCATACACTCCAGCGCATAAAACGTTTCTTAAATGATGCCCCAGAATTTGACCCCACTGTTTCAGTGAAAAATACTGTCTTGGATCCTTTATTCAGCTTCAATTATGCTACGTCCACCTTCCATTCATATTAGAGTTGCCATCAGAAATTTCAGGATGTAAATTTATGTCTAAAAATTGAATTAAATTGTGTTTTGTGCATATATGCCAGAGCATTATCTCTCAGCACGCATCTAATCGAAGGAATGCTTTCGGGGGCAAAAAATGAATAAAGTATCACATGTGTCCTTCACTGGTGAAACCGAAGTAAAGTTCTGAACGAGTGCGCGATATTATGATTCAGACCCGCAGTCGAGGGATTGATGTCGCTCACATGGCTCAAGAGCCTCCCGCGTTCGATTGCGCCAAATTGTGATCTTACCACACGGTCTCACACTTTGTTTAGTATGTAGTGGTATGTTCGTTTTCTTGGCAAGCTACATAGCGTAATTTTAATAGATTTGCCACGTGAAGGAAAATACGACAAAAACTTGCCCCTAGATTGGCCCTCCCCAGTTTCGCCCCAGTCCTACCGCCATGGTGCACGCGCATCGGGCACGGCTGGAAGTGAAAAGTCGGAAACTAATGGTCAATAATAGGTTCTTGTGCAGAGGAGCGACAAGAAGGCACAAGATGGCTGGTTGCAGAAAATCATGAGCCTGTCTCAGCTACCTCTGGACAGATTGTCTCGGGAACGCTTGAAGCTGGAGGTACACAGATTGCATGGATTTGGGTGATTTGTTGAGGTGCCGCTCGCTATCTCCAAGGATGCCAAGCGGTTAGTGATGGAGGGATGCGATTCGCAGATGTTGGTTGTGGTTCATGGGAGCTCCGAATTCCAGATCAGGAGTTTCGATTCTCCACAGAATTGCAGTCCATGCTGCGGACTTGACGTTCAGATCGGCCTCGTCGACGGAAATGTACGAAGCTGGAGCTAGGAGTCTAAGCCTGGCAGGTCGAAAATCCCCCACCATGCCAATGCCGATCATCGACTGTGGAGATGTTTTTCCGGAGTCCACCAAGTGTCCATCAGGGCGCTGCAAGATATCTGCCTGCGTACACCGTAAGGCAAAATCCACTCTCTCCCTGTGCGCTGGCATTGTTCTATGCACCGTCGTTCTCTTCATCCTCATCACAGAGCTAGACCCCTCGAAAGTTTCTGAGGACCCCCGACTGCTAGTCACATTTCCATACAGGCTTGAGGATCATTCGCATTTAGTCATGCCTAGTGATGCGGTGACAGAGAAATTGCCTGAGAAGAATATTGAGCGGGAAGAGGCTGCACTTGAAGGCCTGGGTGTCGTCTTTCGAAGAGGAACTGGTAGAATGCCCGAGCTCGTCGTCGCTCATTTGTCCGAAATGACAGTCGCGGAGGATCTCAGGCTATTCCTTCGTGGGCTGCACCGAAGCGGAATGCTTGCCAGGGCAGATCTTGTGCTTCTCTTTCCGTGGCGACCTCTCCCCCGGAACTTTGCAGAAATAATTTATGAAGAAGAGAGATATTTTCAGAAATTGCTTGATCAGTCTCTTCAAGCGGAAGCTGGAGAACCGACGGAAGGGTTTCGAAATTCTAAGCTAAGCATCTTCAATTCTGCGTCGTACACTCTACTGCTGTCTGTGACTCCTTCCAGAAAGGGGCCGCAGGATTCTCTGTGGGGTAGTGCGAGCGCAGGAAATGTTTCTGCCTCCGCTGGAACTAAAGACGATGGGGTGCATTTCGGCGCCATTGTTGGGTTCGACATGCAAGAGCTTGACGCCGGTGACGCTCTCAGTGGGTTCTTGAACTCACCACTCGCCGGCCTTCGGCGCTGGGTTTGTTATCAGATCCTGTTGGGAATGGTGCGCCAACATTATCGTCACGCTTTGCTCACCGAAGTTACAGGCGTGTTTATTCTCGAGGATATCTTCGCCCCCCTGAAGAAGAAAGTTACTAGCCTGCACCTGTATTACACTGGCAAGCGATGGGCCGACGCGGACTCTTCATCTACACTGCCTAGCAATATCCTAACGCCCAGTAGTGAAGAATTAAACGCAACTGGGCTCATGGAGAACGTCTACGGGCAAAGGTATTGGAATTCCATGGACGAGGAGGATAAGCGCCGGAAGGTGATCAGCACTGGAGTGATCATGGGCGGAATTCGCTCCGTTCGCAGCGTGACCACTGCGATGGCTACTGAGATAGTTCGGGTTGCTCTTCTTCGCAAGAGCAGGGAACCGTTCAATCCTGAGGCTATCTTGAGCTTCTTAGTGCACAAATCTTCGGTTCTGGGCAAGAAAGTGGCTTCCCATCTCCAGCTTCATGAGAGTGGAATGTCGTCTGTAAACCTACTCCCCGGGCCGTCGCGCGGTCCCCATTTCAATGACTTCTTCCGGCGTGTCGACACCCGGTTTGCTGTGCTTCAGGGATTCAAAAACAAAGGCGTCGCCGAATCTAGACGAACCAATATACTCCAGTCCCTACGACGAGACCTCTGCAGATCAGTGAACGACCCCTATATTTACACGGATTGCCACAGCAGCAGATATCCCGTGGAGATGGATTTATCATAACCTTCCTCGTTTCAAATTCCCATCTTCTCTAGTGTTTGCGCGGCCTCTGCTTGTTGCATGATAATCCACGAAAGGACGACAGCCATCATTGTGGCAGGTCTGAGTCCTCGTCCAGCTTCAACTGCAGACCAATTACTACAGGGAGATGAGAATAGGCAGCAGTAGCAATAGCCTCATTCGCGGAGGATGGACCTCCGCCCAGTGGGGGCTCAGCAGTGTCGATCGATCCACTGCTCCTACACCGACAACAGTTGCAGAGCCACGCAGGAAACATATTGTCTCCGAAGCTGCAACCCTAGCAGTGGATGAGCCTGAACAGACCTGGGTTGCATTACTGTCCTGAAAAACCCCAATTAGGTGATTAAAAGAAGCTGATAAGTTCATGTTTTTCCAGAGTGTACCATATATCTATTTCACAGGCTTGGTTCCATTCTACCTCGTCCCACACCCATCATGCAACTCCAAATTAGTGATCCTCCTGCGAGTCTGTCTGTCTGACTTTGCATGAGTTGCTTCGGCGAGAGAGTAGTGCCGATTGAGTGTGTCTCGATAGCGAGGTTGCCCTTCTGACATCCTCTTACCATTATTGAGCAGTACCAGCAGGCCTACGAACCTCTGATTGCTCCTTCATCGCTATCTTCCGTTGTCGTCTAGCTCCTGCATCACTTGAGAGGCCTGAGCTTGAGTTCAGTCCTGAAGCTCTTTTTTTGTGTCTTCCAATTCAGAGCTTCGGCGTCAATGTTGCAATTGTGAACATATTTAGGGATCCAGTTGTACATGGCCTTATATTGTCAATGATGATATCAATTTGAAAAGCTCTTATTCAATGATATTCTGCTTCGGAAGCCATGAAATCTATATGGCTAGGTTCAAGGCACAGCATTAATTGAATTGTTGTGAAGAATTTGTAAGGTTCCAATGGTGGAATTGCTTTCATTTCAACTATTAAAAATCATTGTCATGGTTTCTGTGTTAACTAACCGGCTTGGTTTTGAGTGCTTATATTTCATCATTGATTTTTGACAGTTTGCACAATCCCTCTTGAGGTTATGATATAAAATGTGTGGATTTGAATTAGCGAAAAAAATATTCCTTTTCGGTTTTAAGTGTATTTGTTTTCAAATTTAATACTATTACAATTGACAAAGATCTCATATGTTTCTCGAACTTGGTTATAGAGTGATAGGTGCCGGATTCGCACCTGGTGCTGGATGAACAGAAGATCTAAATGGCTCTCCAGAAAGGAAAATAAAACTTCAAAACCTTTTATCTTAAATTCTGTCTAATTTCCCAAAAATGATTTTGTTTTGTTTTGTTTTGTTTTGTTTTCGAAACCTCCAACACCTATTATAAATGTTTTAGAGCAACCCAAAAAGTCATTGCTTGTCACTCAACTGTCGACGAAATTCAAGGTAGTTATATAACATCCATTCTAATTGATATGTAAGGATGTTTGGCAAATAAATAAGAAGATTAAAGTGCAAGTTAAGTACTTGTTTTGCAAAAAAATAATAATTTGACTTTAGCTTAAATCTATTCCTGTAATGTTTTTACACCTAAGTAAGGTAAATGTTTTAGAAACAATTTTAATTTTGTGATATTTTCCCTTATATTTATGATCTTCAAAAAATAAAAAAATAAGATGATTTAAATACATGTTTTATATGCTTATTCAATTTAGTATGTTTATGCATATTAATTTTAAAGAATCAATATTTTCACTCAGAAATTTAATATTTCCATCCAACATTTTGTTGCACCCATCATATAGCAATTGTTTTTTTTTGTGACTTGTTGTATTTCAGTTTCAGCTTGGGCGTTTTTGAAGAGAAATCTTTACTTTCATGACTTCCCTACCAACTGAGTTGTAGAGAAGGCTCATGTATTGGACCCTGTTGCCAAAAGCAATCTCTACCACGTTGGATTGCATTCCCAACAAAGACAGTGGGCCGCCATATTGAGGCACTAATCAAAGCATTTTTAATTTTTTTTCTTTTCATATGTCACCAAACTACAACAATACCATCAATGTGATAGGTGCAATGTTGAGTCAAAATAATAAAACTTTGGATAGAAATATCAATTATAAAATTTTATTATATATTGCTGTTAATATACATACACATATATATATTAACTATGCCATTGGGCTTTGCAATCTTTGGCACATTCATCTATTCCCTTATTCATTGACTCTTTCTTGTTCCCACATTCATGTGTTCCTTGTTTCCATGTTTTCTTGTTAACATGTTCTCCAAGTTCCCCAAGTTCTTTGTGTTTCCTTCTTCATGGCCAATTGGAAGGCTTCTTTGTGTCTTTGTGTTATATCCAAGTTGCCTTGAATAACATTTATGAATTATAATACAAATGATCATACATATTACATAAAAGAAGATTCAATTTTTATTTATTTTTAATTTATTTTTAATTAAAGTTATTTCAAGAAATATACATTTATAATTTATTTTGATTCTTAGAATTTATTTTAAGAAAATTTCTTAAATAAATTAATAGAAACAAAATTAAGTTGATTCTATTACTAAGTTCATTTAATAAAATATATAAAATTTTAAGTTAATAAATATATATATATATATATATATATATATTGACTTAAGATTTGTTGATTATATTTATATTGTAGCTAAAAACCTTGTATTTTTTTTTTTTTTTTTTTTTTTTTTTAAAGACTCACTTTTACAACACTACAGAGTGATTGAAATACATAAAATCATTCCCAATATATAACTTAATAGTTTCAGCCAACATCTCACCTATGACTAAATCCCAAAGATTCTTCAATGTCAAATTCTAATGGGTCTAAGATTGGTAGCCATCCACATCTCTCTCAAAAGCTGGTTACTATACTTTTGCCACATTACTCAACCCCACAAATCTGCACATGAAACTGGCTATTGTGTGCCTCAATCAGCTGCCTCCTCCCACCCCAGCTTGTCCACAATGCCATGGTGCACATGAGCAAGGCCACCAGATCAGTACAGACAAAAGCCCTTGGGTGAAGAGCACCTGTTAAAAAACCCCAACTCATGTAGTACAAACACATGCAGAGTTTCCACAATAGGGGATGCATCTAGAGCAAGATTGTGTAGCAAAAATACCAAAATGCTTTAAGAAGTCAGGAAATGCCATATCTAGAAAGTAAGAGAAGGGCCACAAGAATCATTACACTTCCACAACCCCACAAGTGCAGATTCTGCTGAAGAAGTGAACAGTGACTGCCACAGTCTAGTGCACTCACTCATAAATTCCACTGTTGCTGAAGCATTCTATAAATCATCCTGCCAGAGAAGATGGAAGATTCTCAACAGCCACTGCGGACGGGACAGTCTTCCTATTGAATGCTGTGGTCTTCTTGCTCCCCCAATAATTCACTGTGAATTTTTGTGCAGTAAAAGATTTGTCTTCACTTGGGCTGCTGATGGTGTGTGCAACTCGTTGACGTGGGGGGGGGGGGGGGGGGGGG